TTACTCATAAGATAGATATCTGTTTTAAGTACTGCAAGCAGTCTTTTATTTTCCCTTACAATGGGCACTTTCCTTATAAAGTACACGAAAGTGAAATATATGAAATATCAAATATGAAAATATTAAACAAAAGATTGATATGTTCAGTGAGTCAGAAGTGTTAATTACTAGAGAAATAAAATACAAAATCTCAAATTGTGCCTTTTGAGAATCATTTTTATAGATTCTCTAATTATTCTTTCCTGTCATGACTGAGTCTAGTTAGTTCTGTGTATATCCAGTGATGTTAAAAGATTTTGTGCTTTTGACATCCTATAAGCATTTTCATTTTTGGCCCACTTGTGTTAAATTATAGATTAATGATGATTTTTTTAAAAACTAGTATCAGCATTATTTCTTATTTTCCTCATTTAGCATTTTTAAATAAAATAAGGGAAATTCGGTAAAATAGTTTGTAATTTTTAAATATTGCTTTAAAAGATGGTAATGGTGTGGTAGCAGGTGATATGATTGGCTTACAGGTATATCACCATGCTGTAGTTACAGATATTTATTCTTCAGAAGATGTAAAAAAAGTTGGAATTCAAACAGTGAAAGACAGATTAGGAACATTAAAATATAAAATTTGAAAATATAGATTAAATTGAAGGCACAATATTTGTGAGTGCCTGAACTAAGTAATAGACTATATATTGTACATGTAAGTGAATACTCTTAAATATCATTACATATTACATATATTCTATATTTTATTATGAATATATGTATGTAACTATGAGCATAGTAGTTTACCTTGTAACTTATTTGAGCCACAGGAGAGTAGGATGTTAGATTATTGAGTTTAGTGATGTTTTAGAATTATGAACCAGGAATGGAGTGTTGAAAGTAAAAACTTAAAGGTCTTTCATTGCTTCTCGTGGTAATTGAAGGGTGAAAAGCTTCCTCTTTCACATGTATAGTCTTTGAGTGTTTTTATTTTAACCCTGCCTTAGTTTTTTTGGACGGCTGTAACAAAATAGAGGCTGGGTGGCTTAAACAACAAACATTTATTTCTCACAGTTCTGGAAACTGAGAAGTCCAAGATTAAGGTGATGGCATATTTGGTGTCTGGTGAGGGCCCACTTCCTGGTTAATAGATAAGTATCTTCTTTGTGTGTCCTTACATGATAGAAGGAGAGAGGGGGCTTTCTGGGATCTCTTTTATCAGGGCACTAATCCCATTCATGAGGGCTCCACTCTCATGACCTCGGCCTCCTCGTAAAGCCCCACCTCTAAATACCATTACATTGAGGATTAGGTTTCAACATTAATTTTGGAAGGACACAAACATTTACTCCATGGCAAACTCTCTGAGGTGAGGAAAATGGCCACTTAGTAAAGAACAGATACCAACAGTTTTAACGACAGGGCAGAAGTACTATAGTCATTTGTTATATTTTTATTACTGCTTAAGTATTACAAAACCTTACTAGTAAGCAGTTCTATAGGTAGCAGTGAGGACATTTATAGCTTTTTATATTCTTCCCTTCTAGATTATGAGCACACTGAGGGTACGAGTCCTCTCTTTGTTTTTTTCTATTTGTGGTACACATCACAGTGCCTGGTGCTGTAGATTTTTAGGGAATATTAATTGAAGGAAGGAAGGAATGAGCTTACTTTTGTAACCCAGTTGTATTTATGAGGTGACTTGGTAGCATGTGTGGAATAATCACTGAGGGTTCTTTGTGGTGAACAGCAAAAAATAAATGAATTACTCTGTAACACGTGAAAATCTAGATATTCCACCTTTAGTCCAGTGTATTAACTAGCTCCCTATATGTTTATCTTCTTGGCTAAAGCTTCAGGTTAAAACCATTGTTCTCAGGGCATAGGTGCTCTCAAAAGTCAATTCACATTGCCCTTCCCTCCCCATCTGTGACATAACCAGTGACCAGAACATAGTGTATGCATGGGGGGTGGTGCTTAGGCAGGGAAATATATTTTCTGAGGTTGGCTGGGCACCACGTGTTTAATATTGCTTGCCTTGGCAAGCTGCACATATATTGCCTCTGCTCAATCCTAAGTGATCAGAAATTTCCCCTTTCTCAGATGAAGCAGCTTCTTGTGAGACCTCTGAGTCTATGAGAAAAATTATTTAGCAGAATCAATAGGGGTGAAGCAGATAGGCTACAGCAGATTACATCAATTTTCCTGAAGCTGTGGGAAACAACTGAATCTCAGCACATTTTGACCTCTGCTTTGGAAGAGGCTGGCAGAGGATCCTGTGGGTGGATGCTGCATCTCCCAAGACCTGATAGTACCAATTTCTTTTTGTTGGGTGGTTCAGATTTGTTTGGCAGCAGTGAGTTTCCCAGTTGCCAACAGTCTTTTATGGAGCAAGGGGAGGAGTGAATGAAGCAGTGATAGGAATTGAATAATACTATATTGAATAATAAAATATTTGTTGAAGTCCTTATATTCTGTAAGTTTGTAATTATGTGTTCTTGTTAAGATTCTTTTCTTATTAACTAATAATTAAAATAGTTAATTTTTTTCCATTGTTTTTTCAAAGAAAGTGGAAGGGTGAGAGAGAGAGACAGAGAGAGAAACGTCAATGTGAGAGAGACACATCAATTGGTTGCCTTCCGCATGTGCGCCAACCGGGGTCGGGGATTGAGCCTGCAACCGAGGTATGTGCCCTTGGCCAGAATCGAACCCCAGGACCCTTCAGTCTGTGGGCTGACACTCTAACCATTGAGTCAAACCGTCTAGGGCTCAAAATAGTTATTTTTATTGAGTACTTACTCTGTCAGGCACTGTGCTGAATTTTATTTTTATTCTTTTACATTAACTCACAGTCTAGGTTATATTTTCATCCACTTGAACCTCATAGTGGCATACCTCTCACAGAAGTATTGATAACTAATTTTTATTCAACAGCTATTTGTACATGCAATGAATATTTCATGGAACAAAGTTGGGAGAGCCCCACTCTGAGTTAAGAAAAGGGGTTTGTCAGAGCTTGACTTATTCTGTCTTGGCAAGGGTATAAACTAAGCTTTTAGCTGAGAAAAATATTGTGAAGTTGGGTTGGCCATTGTGGAAGGGAATGAAGGACGACCAAGGGAGACCTTGGAGCCTTCTATACCTCTTTGCAAAATCTTCTCCTGAAGAAAGGAAGCTAAGATTGTGGGAGACATGGTCCAGTCATACCTTTTCTCGTCTAGTTACTGAGTATCCTAAGAAAACAAAACGTGCACACTCTTTAACTGCTGTGTGAACTTGATACCATGTTTGTGTATTTTTAGTTTTATTGAGCTATCACTGACATACAGCATTGAGCAAGTTTAAGTTACACAGTATAATGATTTGACTTACATATGTTGTGAAACGATTGACATATAAAGTTTTGTGTTTTTTAAAATATATACTGAGGTCAATAACTAAAAACATCTTTTGTCTCTCGTCATAAATTATAATACAGTTTATAGGTATTTGGCATGTATATATTATAGAAATAAATTTAAATTCTTTTAGTTTAGTTTTAATATAGCATTTCTAAAATTATGTAAACTATAGTTATTTTTAGTTGGACTGTTGCATATATTGCCTCTTGGATTTTAGAAAGCACCTGAAATGTGAAAGGAAAAGGATTGTGAAAAATGCCTATAAAACACATTAAAGGTTAAAACAGTGGCTGAGTCCAGTGAAAGGAAGTGAGCTTATGAATTTGTAATGACAGTACATTTACAGCTTATTGTCTTACTGGGGGTCTGAATTTTAACAGCTGCTGATAGTTTAAACTAAAATAGAAGTCTAAATAGCCTGTAATAATCTATGAGTGTTCATTCTGTTTATGGATTGTTTCTTAATAGAAATACTGAATAGTATTGCCTATCTTAAATTACCTCAAAGGGTAGTTGTAAAAATGAAATAAGATAAGTAAATATGTTTGTAAACATTAAATGTGCTCTCTCACTCTCTGTGTGTGTATACGTAAAATAAAATTATGAAATGTGTTTGGTGAGTAGTCCTTTTAGGAGTTGTTTGAAACTTCATTTAGATTCCATGAATACAGTTTCTGACAACCCAAAGTGTATTGGTCTGAAAAGTTAAAATTGTGGTATAAACATGTAGTATTGTAAGAATGTTTAAGTTAAATAGGAGGCTAAGTATTTTAAAAGCAGATGTTATATAAACAGTGAATGAATTAATATGTCATTTTTATGTGTTATTTTATGCTGGTTATATACTAGAAACACTGTGTTCATTTACTTGTTTTTACTCCGTGTGCTTGAAAACGAACTTTGCTTCCTTAAGACTATTCTGAACTTTAAATATTTTATTAATTTTCTGGTTCTTTCTTCAGTTAGCTGGAAGGAGGGATGTTCTCCTATAATCAACAACTGATACTGGTTTTAAGACTAATCCAATTGAAGAATACAACAGCAATCTTATTTTATTTCTAAGCAAAGCACATATATTTTAGATAACAGCTTTTAAATATTATGTCTGAAACACTACATTAAATATGTTAGGTTACTCATTATTAAAATTGTTTTAATAATAATCACATATTGACTTTCCCCATTAATTATATAAACGGGGAAGATATAAAATAAGTGGAATTTGAGTATCTCTCATTTATCTTGCACTGAACCACATACTCTGGTGAGATATAAAGAAATCTCCAAAACCCTGTCCTTGAGGAGCTTATGATATTAAAGGTGGGATAAGAAATATTTTTTAAATCATCAAAAATTATAAAAGCAGTATGTGAATAAATGCCAAGGAGTGTGATAAAATTTATAAGTGTTCTAGAAGTAAAAAGAATAAAATATATTTTGCCTGAAATAAGTATGCTTTCATTTTATGATGTTTTAAACTGTTTACTAGATCTTTGAATCAAGACCATCTCAATCATAGTTCAGCTGACCTGTTTTTCTAATAAAGAATCATCACCAGCCTTGATGGAGCATAGTGTATAAGTAAAACATGCATTATATTGTCTTTATTTTCAGGCATACTTCCGACAGGGTGTTGCCCTCCAGTACCTCGGACGTCATGCCGATGCCCTGGCAGCCTTTGCATCTGGACTGGCTCAGGACCCCAAGAGTCTCCAACTTCTGGTGGGGATGGTAGAAGCTGCCATGAAATCTCCCATGAGAGGTAAATATAAAAGCATTTGGTCTGACACTAATTTAAAGTAGAACATTTCTAGCCTTTGAAGACTTTAGACTCAGGCATTGAGAATTGATAGGTTATCAGATTTGCTAAGTTGTATGTTTTATTTATCTATTTAAAAAATTTAGGAGATTACCTTTATTAAATAAGTTAGACTGGTTTTTATACCCTGTTGAAAGCAATGGCTTTTTTGTTTATTTGTCTAAAGTCAGCGGTAGTTCCCATTTCTCTCTCACAATGTTATAGTTAAGCCTTAATTTAGTTCCAGGAAATAAGTAATAGGGTAGATTTTTCATATTTCTCTAGATCTGTCTATTAGAAAGATATTTCAGAGCATGAAGAAGAAATGAACATTTTTAGATACTAACAATTTATCCTTAGAACTTGGTTAAATTTGGCTTTTTCTCAAAATTCTGTGCTCATCTCCACAGAAATTTCTTTTTCAGTAGCCCTAGAAGAGATTATATATTTTAGACAAAGGAAGATTAAGAATCACTGTCAGTAGCTGACAGTGATCCAGAATAGGATGGTATAAGGCTACTGGCCTAGGAGTTTGTGAACCTAGATTACATTTTTGAATTTTGCATTAACTAACTGTATGGCCGTGGGTAAATGAATCGACATCTCTGGATTTTAGAGTTATCTGATGATTCCTTATGTTTTTTATAGTTCTAAGGTTCTGTACTTCTAAATCATAACACCTCTGGTAGTAAATTGATTTGTCTATTTGAACCAATATGCCATCTAGAAATATTCAAATAAGAGAAGACATTAATTAGACATTCTAATATTTTGTAAAAGGAAATATGGATCTAACTGTTGGCTGTGTGTGTAGTATTTTTCAAAGGAGCATTACAAGATTATGTTGTATTAAAGGAGAGAGAGAGGAACAGACAGACACTAGTTTAAATGTTTTTCTCCTGTTATTCTACTTTATACCAATTGGTATTCTGGAAAACAATGGATTGAACATAGTACTGTGGAGGTTGGAGAAGTTCTAAAGCTTGAAACAGATTGGCTTCACTTTGAGGAACATTGATTTTTGAGGAATGAGCTCTTGGGAAGATTGGGCTGAAAGTGTACACCAGTTGTCATCTTTGCAGAGTGATGGAGACACTAAGGTAGATTGATGGCATATAGTGGAAAGCTAATATTGTTTTGTATTAATTAGATTATATCAAGCAGAACTCTATTTTTGTCTCTGAAAAGGGATGTTTTTGAATGAACCTAAACATTTTGATGGCAGTATCATTAGACATATTCTCTTGTTTTGAAAATGTTTGCAGTATTAGACAGTTTTAATATACTGGCTAATACAGTATTTGGCTCAAAATGTATGCTAAGTAAATGTTTGATGAACTAAATGGTACTTATATGGTCTCTGGGCAGTTCATAGCTATTAAAAATATTTTCCTGAAAGTCAAAGATTTCTTGTTTTAGAAAAAAGTGGTAAGGAAACCTCTCTTCATGTGATTTTATAACCCCATACAAAGCTGAGTCTTTGCTGCAGGAACTAATGGCTTCTCTCACTGGGGGACCTGCTGTTAATAAACTCTGACTTAGAGCAGATGCGCTTTAGAGCTCTAGGGCTTAGGGGTTGGGGGTGGGGTGGGTATGGACAAAAAAAATCAATTTATCTCTCCCCTTTCCATTTTTCTAGTAGTTTCTCATTCTCTCCCTGTACCCTTCCACAAGTAATTTACATGGAACATTTTTTATTTAGTACATGAAGATATAATTTCTTTATTTTGAAGTGTTTCTGCTGCTGCCTTAGAATATTGGAGTGAACATGTTGAGATCAGCAGAATCATACTTACTGTTTTGCCTTTGAAGCAATATGTTTAGACAAATGTAAGGAAATCTTCCCTGTACTGTCAGAAATAGCTCAGTGTTGTTGTCACCCTTAGGGTTTTCTGTGCCATGTTCTTTCCCAGCTTATACTGAGTGACCTAAGGCCGACCCTGGAGAAAGCTGCAACTTACAGGTGCCTGGAGCGCTTCAGTATTTTCTTCTTTTCCTTAAGGCAATTTAATTTATCTCATTTATTTTTAGCATTGCCTTTACCACTATATCTACTCCAGGTGGGCTTTTCTTATCAACATTTTATAGGGATACTGTTGCTTTTCACAGTGTTATTCTATGCATCATTTCACATCTTAATGACCTACCTCTCTTTTTGTCATATGGTTATAATTCACAAAATCTATCATTATTTGCTTCCCATTTTTTACCCATTTTAGTTTAGCCTCCTGCAGCTTTCTAAGTTTCTGCCATTGTTGCATAGCAGTGCAGTCTGGGTCATTTTACATATAGGTCTGATCTGTTTTTGTTTTGTAATTCTTAAATGCAGCAGAGAAAACTCCCTAGTCCGGGTACTTGTGTCAGTGAGCAAAGCTCCCATGATAGGCACAATGTTCCTGTGATTTGGCCTTTTTTGGAAGTTTCAAGATTACATTTTTTAAAAAGGTAGGGCCACTCTATATTAATATACCCTTGTTCCCAAATAAATGTTATATTTATCCACATTGAAACTTACTTGATTTTTTTATATTGTTGCTGCCTAGATTGCTAACTGAATTCAGTCTGTTTTTCTTTGTTTTTATGGTTTCACTCATGCTTACTAACCAGATATCCAGATATCAGTTAAACTACTTCTCCTGTGGTTATATTTACATCATTATATATAGTGTATTTCCTTTAAATCATTAATGAAAATACAAAAGTAAGTATAAGTATGAAATGATACTCTCTTTTTCATGACTTCTGAAGTTATCCTGTTACTGTTTTTTCATTTCTCCTTTTTAGGTAGTCTTTCAGCAATTTCAGTTCATTGTATCTTGTAAATGTTTATGCAAATTTGGATGGTGTAGCATAGTACTACTGCCAACCACAGATTTAATAATATAATTACAAAGTGAGATTGAGTTTACATTTATTTGTTCCTCTAAAGACACCAGGGCTGCTTCTTGCCGAGGGTTCTCTTGTGTATATTTTCTCTTCTCCTGTTAATTCAGTAATCTAAAGACTATTACATTTATGGGCTATCACCTGTCATGGTGTTTCTACCAGCACCGGAGGATCCAGGGAAGCTGATTTTATGACATGCTAGTGGCAAATGATTGTTGAATGTATAAGCTTTTATCTAGGGGTCAAATTGGGGCTCACCTTTTATTTGCCTACCCTCAGTGAACTCTTTCAGGAGGCAGTTACTTTTTACAGGAGGCCCCTTTCTGAAATATTATGTTAAAAATACAGACTCCCCCCCCAAAGGATTGGAATCTAATTTCAGCGCTGCCACTTGCTATTCCATTGACTGAGCAAGGTTGCTTACTTTCTCTACACCTCAGTCCTTATCTGAAAAAGGGAAATGATAATATCTACCTCCTAATGTTGTTCGGAGAATGAACTACTAGAATGTAAAGGCAAACACCTTGTACTATTCCTTTTCCTCTGCAGTGTGAGGCCCTTCTCACTGAAGAATAGAAGGAGCTGCAGTAATGATCCTGCTCTTGTATTTATGGCAGGCACAGTGCTGTGGGTGTGGAATGAACACTGCACAGTACACACGGTCTTTTTGCTGACCACTCACTAGAGGAATTTCCCTCAGTCTCAGTTTCAGGAAAAGCTGAATTTCTTATGAATGTTGGTATATTTTTATCTGAAAGGTCTGGGAATTTTTAAAGTGAACATTTATCCTTTTGCTTTGTCCTCTTTGAAGCATGGAGCCCAGTGTCCTGGCCGTCCTGGCCACCTTTAGGAAGCTTGTCAGGGCTTACAGTCTTGCCTGTCTATATGCTGAGTTTTATTGTCTTACCCCTATTTTCTACTCACTCTGACTTCAGTATTTTCCACCTTATTTCTATAGGACGCTTTGAATCCTTTTTGAATGAAATAGAGTATAGTAAATAGATACACAAACCGAGTACAATGTGAAGTGGCTTAGACAGAGTGCAAAACATGTCAGTTTTTATTTTGATTGTTTTTGAGGAGGGTTAAGTTTTGCTTTTAGTATGAACCAAAACCAAAGTTTTTTTAACTGTTGTAAAATATATATAACATAAAATTGATCATTTTAAGTATTTTTAGTTAGAAAATTCAGTGGCATTAAGTACATTTACAGTGTTGTGCAACCATCACAACTATCCATCTCCAGAACTTTTTCATCATCCCAAATTGACACTCTGAACTCATTAAAATCTAACTCCCCATTCTGCTCTCCCCACTGCTCCGGGCAAATACTGTGCTATTTTCTGTCTCTCTGAATTTGACTACTCTAAGTATCTTATAGAAGTGGAATCATACAGTATTTGTCTGTTTGTGACAAGCCCAATGGTTTTTAATTTAATTCCCTCTTTAAGAAATTAGCTTAAGAAAGGTAAAAATTAAAATTAGGCGAATATTATGAACCTTACTCCACATTTTATTTTTTTGGGGGAGTCTTTTACCTTAATAATACTTCACTTCTTACCTTATCAATAGTTGCTATTTTCTTTTTGGATCCCTATTTTAGAGATTCATTCCAGGATTGTTTCTCCCAGTCTTCTGGATTGAAAGTTATATCATTATTTTATGTATTACAAAGAAAAAAATGCTGATGATTAAATGATGACACAATTCTTTCTTATCCCTTAACTTTTTATTTTTATATAAACAGAAAGAGCTCTTTTAGTCCCATTAGGACACAGAAGTGACAAACCATTGTGAGGTACGATTGAGTTCAGAGATATTAAACTCCAAATTCAGAGATGTTAATATGTTAGTAAATGTGGATCTCAGAATTGATGATATATAGTATAGCAGGTCTTCACTTGACATTGTCACTAGGTTCTGTGACTTTAAGCTAAATGACATATAATTTTTATTTTATTTTATTGATTTCAGAGAGAAGAAGGGAGAGAGAGATAGAAATATCAATGATGAGAGAGAGTCATTGATCAGCTGCCTCCTGCACGTCCCCTACTGGGAATTGAGCCAACAACCTGGGC